TCTTCCTAGCATAAGGGCGTAACTACACTTCGAGATGAACCCTGTTGTCCATTTAACTTAATGCTTTCCCAGGCTCATCTCTAAATGTAGTTACGCCCTTATGTCAGCCAAGCGACGACTTGACAAAAAATTATCAGACCGTACTTCGAAAAAAAAGTGTACCTACAGCCTGGTACCTATTTGTTTTCAGTCAATTTTGATCGTTCTCTAGAGCTTCACCTCATTGAACTCCATGCTATAAAACCAAATAATCTCCCCTTTATTAATGATAACCTTAGTGTCACCTTCAAAGCCAAATTCTATAGCATAAAAAGGTTCCACTCAAAATTTTTGAAGTTGATTTTTTGCTTGTTAGAAGTCACACACTAAGATGTTGTAAAATGTCTGCTATAAAAATATTGAAATTGCAAGTAATCCAACATATACCTCGTTAACTTTTCCTGTTAAGGAGAATTTCCCAAAATCTAACCGAGTAATATCCTTTACCATGTGTGAAAGTCTAGGTTTCATTATTTTTGAACAATTTTAACAGACATTTTCAAGAGCATTATTAACAAAAGAAGCAGTGAATCGTGAAGGATGAGGGGAAAAGAGAATGGAAGATGGGGTAAGAACTAAGATACACGCTTGTCTACCTTGGAAAGGAGTGAGGTCTCCAAATTCTGTCCGATTGGTATTCAATGCCGGGACCTCTGGGTTGGAGGGTTTTTTCCAGTCAAAAGTTTCGTTTATCTTTTGGTAAAAAAATTTGTATATTTAATTTTTATTTTTTCTTCTCAATTTGTAAAAAAAAAAAAAAATGGCTTTATTTCTCAAAAAAAAAAAAACTGACTTCACACCGCAGCTCTACCTGGCGAGCTGATTTTACTGCTTTATTTATTTCTCCTCGATTGGACGTAGGATTCAAGTTTTAGAATTAGAGACATCCAACACCTATAAATCCTCACGTTGAGCATGCTCATCCCATTAATCTCGCCAAAAAAAGAAAACAAAGAAAAAGAGGTAGAGCTACCGGTGGTTCTCATCTGAATTCAGGAATGCGAGATTTGATGAGGCTATTGAAGTGGAAAAGGTACTCAAAGATATATGGCAAACAAAAGGGCGAAAATGCGAAAGGCTACGATGAAGGCGCCGTACCAGTTCCACCGCGAGGGGAGAGGCAAGGCGGCCTTGAACAGGTTCTTACTTGCAAACTTTTCAAGAAAAACCTCGGGATCATCCAGCTCCGCAAAATCTGCGCGAACAGGTGGCAGGGATTAAAAGATCTGTTTTTACTCCATGCCCTACGCGCTGACATTGCTGGATCTATTGTATCCGACCCCTGGTTCGGATGCTGAGTTACGCCCGCTGGGCTCCAGTTTTACGGTAGGACCCACAGAGAATAGTGATGGCCTTTGTTTTGATTTTAGAAGATAATGTCTGGCTAATAATTTAATACTTATGTCAAATTGGCTAAAAATCTACGGTTAAAATCTCAAAATTAAAATATCTTTAGTTTACACCACAGTGGCGAAATTAAATAAATTACTAACAAAATCTAATTCGGGGCATTTTAGGAAAAGCCATCTCCCAAAATGAGTGCCCGATACTTTGCAATTCGTCGGAAATAATTCCTAACAATCATGGATGAAGTGTCGGCCTGGTTTGAAAATTTTTGGGATGGCGATACGTTTTGAGGGCCTCTCCTCGTGGATACCCCCCCCCCCACCCCTCCACTGACCTAAGGACCTCTTTTACGAGGGTTTTTCAAATTTTGGGGCCTCTAAAGGAGTCCTGCAAAGGCCCCTTGAGCCACCCGTCAGAATTTTCGGGGTACTATAGGGGTACTATTTCCACGAAAAAAGGTGATAGGGGTTATAAGACCAAACTTGGTCATTTCCAATTAATTTTGGTTGTAATTCAATAAATTACATTACTAAGCAGGATGTTTCGGTACTACCATCATCAATTTGAAATGCCCATATTATCCAACAAATTAGGGTAGTACCACAATTTTAGGGGATAACCCCTGCCACTTTTGTACCGGGTTGGCATAGATGCCTCGCATTTTTAAGCCAGAATTTCAGTGAAAAAACTGTTTTTTCGTGTTCAGTATTGTCCTGCGACTCAAATCACCTAATTTCAGATATTCTCCTTAATTCCAACCACTTGATGATCATGAGGAAAATTTTGCTTTTTCTTACTTTCGAATCGCTTGGCCATGTGACTGTATTTTAAGCAAAAGGAGAACACTTTATACTAATGAGAAGTGCGTCATTTTATGTGCGGGCATGGGATTCCAGTTCCTGTCACATACCGGCAAAAGCATGGTCTACACTCTTTTCCTTCCTGCCAAATCCTGGAACTGAACTCCTGGGAACTCATATTGACTCTGAATAACTCAATCAACTCACTAATTAACAAGATCCAAAGCTTTAATGGGGTGGACAAATTCTCTCAAAAGTTGTACCATACTGCCATGCTAAGGAAGAACGCCGTATGAACATCCTAGAGTTGCCAAATTTCCTTGGATAAAACATGTATTTTTGAGGAGAATTGTGCTTACTTTTTCCTTGAAGTTTGTAGATATTTTAGATAAAATTGCGAACAAATTGTCCGAAATTTTTTTAAGAAAATATTCACGATTTGCACAGTAAATTTGGTGTTTATGGAAGGAAATATGACACCGTCTAAAGGCTCATACGGCGTTCTTCCTTAGCGCGGCAGCATACAAAATGCCCTCCTTTTTTACCATGCTAACGTTGTATCTCACCTGAGATATGGTGTTAAATCTGGGACAAGAAATATGACTCGGAGGCGAGTTTCATTACGTAAAAAAGAAGTTTCAAAAAATTCCCTCTCATTACTGAGAAAAAAATTCGCTCATGTAATCCGCCAATACGGTCTCCATTCTCGGTCGTGCTTTTCGGTTCATGTCACCGTAATCTAGTCGTATTCTTGCTTTACACAGTGTACACAACCGAGCTTTTTCCACAGTTCGGTTTAATTTGAAAGCTCGATTACGAGATACAATTCCTAGGTACGGCTACACGAACCGAACATTACAGCCGATACAAAACACTGTGGATAGTGACCGAATTTTGTTTCTCAATGCAGGCTTTTTTGGGGGGCTTGGAGGGTAATCGACTAAATGGCCAGAGGTGACTTCATATGTTCCTAAGACCTGGCAGTAGGCACCTCGTTGCGGAGCCAAAACTTGATGCAGAGTTGGAAGCGATTTAAAGAGGAGAAAGATGAGCGAAGAGGAGGGAATAAAGGAGACGAACAACCCACGCATGATGCGTCGAAATTGGAAGGAAAGACGGCGAGGAGTAAAGTGGAGAGGCGAATAAAAGTCGGTCGGATTCGAAGTGCAGGCGAGGTTAATGGACCCAAGTTTAAGGTTAGTTGTGATTCTTCTCTGATAATCAGCAATACGAACTGATTACGTCGCGACGCGACGAGCGACGCGTCTCGTCGCGTCGTGGCGCTATGCCCCCCCCCCTCTTGTCCTCAACCCCACACCCGTGCCCCCCGTATTTGGGCCCCTGCTCCAAATCCACGAAAGCAACTTCCAGGAAAAGTTTTGGACACGCGCTGAAAGACGTCAATTAAGTAAACACAAACAAGAGGCACTTTCAATGTAGCTGACTGTGCGTCTATGAATCGATGACTAAACTCGAAAAATAAATAGTCTCGATTGCGGTGTTTTGAAAGTTTGACTTCTCATACCTACTTTCGAAGGAAAAGAGGACGATTTTTTTACTTGGATGGAGATATTTCCAATCCAAGAAAATGCACCGTGCGTAGAAAAATAATATGAGGAGGTCTACAATGTAGCAAACTAAAATGAGTAAGCGGTTTTTGAGTGTGGTCATCAATTTGAAAGATTTTAGACAAATTAAAAAGAGCTAACTAGGAGGGTCTATGCAATATCAAGAGTTCATATCTGAGCAATATTCAAAAGAAAAAATAGAAAAAACAGCTTGAAATTAAATTTTAAACTTTAAAAAAAATAAATAAATAAAAAAAAGTAAAAATAAAAAATAAGCGGACACCCCACCCAACTGGCTCCTGACCGTCTTTAAGGCTTACAGTCTCGACCTTCCCCCTCCCCCGAGTTAATTCACAGTCGTGATAGTTTGAATTAAGATTCAACGTAATTTAGAGCTACGTTGGAAAGCAAATATGAAGAAATTAAAACTCTCTGCAAATTTTTTGAAGTGGTGTGGTAAAAATTGATGGTAAAGCAAAAAAAACAAAAAAAAAATGTAAATTTTCAGGGCTAATCCACTGATAAAAGTCAAATTCATGAATTGTATTATTTCATTGATAAATCGCATTAATTGATTTGAGTTACAAAGTATAGTGCCCAGATTAATTTTTTTAGCCAAATGAAAATTTGACAAGTAACTGAACACGGAAAAAAAATTAAATGTTGATTTAGCATTTATATTATTAAAAACATGTCCGACAAGTTTCAAATGCTGACTTTACATTTGGAGAAACGCTAACTTAGCTACGCCCACTGTAAAACGAACAAATTCAAATGTTGTGCTAGCATTTTTGCATTGTAAAATCTGCATCTGAAACTTGACAGGTTCTTTTTTAAGAATTTAAATGCTTAATCAGCATTTAATTTTTTTCCGTGAAGCGAAACGAGCCCTCGGAAAAAATGCCTCTTGACAAAATTTCATAAAAAGAGAGAACCAGGGCCAAGCGCAGACTCAGACGCGCAGTCTTGTTCCTTTTTAGAGATAGCTCACCTGCGAGGAAGAAGAAACTTTTAACGCAGATCACAAATAAAATCGGGGCAGAGCATGACAGTGGAAGGAAGAGAGGCGACCAAAACATGGAAAGAGATGAAAAGAAAAGAGAAAAATAGGAAAACAAAACCTGTCCCATAAAGTGTTAGGGCGAAATGTCCAAAGAGGCTGGATTGGTCTGCGTAGATCACGTGGTGGTGGAAACATCTTGGTGGGGGAATAGAGCGGGAAAGATCGGAGCCCCATGTCCGCTCCACAAGTAGTTAGTGAGTCGCTCGCCACAGTAGACGTTCAGAGCAGGAGCTCGTAGCTAGTGTGAAAGCTATCGGATTATTTCTGAATTGTAGTTCTCGTGATAATTAAATCCGTTTGTGCAACTTGTGTTTTTTTTCAGTTTAAACCAATTCGAGTTTAGCAAAGTTCCGCGTTTCGTGCTGCCCTCATGTTTACACCTTTTCATCGCAATTGAAATTGATTTTCGTTTTGTATGGAAGTGTGAATATCGAAATTAACTCTGTGTTTTTACTAATATGAAAAATTTTGCTAAATGGATTTATGAGCACTTTCTACAGTTCAATTTGTATTTAACCGATACTCTGAAGAAAAAAAAGTTTTTCGTGCCCTAGCGGTTCTCGCGCATCGTTTTATTTTCAAATTGTGAAATTTTGTTCCGTTTTCCTAATTGGAATATTTTATCATGGCGATTCCGTTTAATTTACCCTCGGACGAGGAGACCGAAGATCACTACAAGAGGCTGGATCAACTCTTGAAGGATCTGTACGACGTGCTTCGTCAAATTTTATTTCGACCTCGACCAATTCACGGTAAGTTTCGCCCTGAAATATTTTGATTTACACCCACTTACTGTATTATTCACGCAATCCCCTCATTCACTGAGTTTATTTTTGCACTTGATTTTCAACTCATAGCGTTCCCTGTGCTCTTTCCGTTTGGCGTTTAACGTCATTCTTATGCAATTAAAAATAAGTCCGTCCCTCAACAATCATCTATATCTCGCGATTCCCAAATTTTAAGCGTCGCGTCGTGTTGCGCATGCCGTCAATTCGAAAATTCGCGCCTCAGTTCGAAAGAGGGCACTGAGGCACTTCCGCTCACACGTAAATTTCAGATCATGTTTCGATGGGTTTCTATTGATATTTCACTACAGATGGCGACATGTCTCTTTTTCTTATTACTCTCTCGTCTTCTTTAATCTCGGTGAAAAATATAATTATCAGTTATCGTGTTGATACGTCTCTCGTTTTATCATCAAATAAAATAACCATACGGCGCGGCGCCGAGTTTTAATTCTTCTGATATATCCAGTGCGGTCAAATAGATTCCAAATTTAGACTGTTTTTTTTTTTTTTTTTTAGTTTGTCGCCAGAGCTTTTCTAGAACATAGACTATTTAGGGTTGCAGAGCATATAGAACCTTCTTCAAAGTGCATTTTACCGGCAAATATTCAGGAACTGACGTAAGTTGCGATGAAATACATCTACGTAAATAATCTATTTTTAATGTGCGTTTAGCTGCGTGGTTAACGTTCATACACCGAATAGAAAACATGTATTCTGAAACAAATGACATCCGCAACTTTTTGTAGGTAGGCTTGTTTACTTGCGCTCAACGAATACCGAGTTAAATCGAATAAATAAAAGGATAAGAAATAAAATCAAAATGACTTAAAGCTACAAGTTTAAATGTTAGGTAGGTACATTTTGATTTTACTTTAATTTTGGCCGATCAATTTTTTTTTTGCTCTTGTCACCGAGCAGATTCGGATCGAATTAATTTTGTTTGGTGCTTCGGACGAGATACCTAATGCGCAAGCTTAAGAACTAAATAATTACCTGCTCCTCTAGTGCCGATACTCGTAATTATTTCCAACTATTACTATAGGACTCCGTCCGAAACGCGATAGCTCAACAAAATGTTTTAATTCACGTGACTGTGCTTTCAACCCTCACTGTACCTCTTAAAATTCACTTTCTCTATTTTTCCGTTCATTGATTTTTGGAAACCCTGGATTAAGTATTTTATTGAATGGCGTTCTTCCTCAAATTAAGTCAATTTTTCTCATGGCTTGCTTCCACAAGAAAAATCTGCTTAAGTCATTCAGTTTTGCAGGATGATTTCTCAATATCCAGAATTTTTTCAAATCAATATCGGGAATTCAGTATAATTCTCCTATGGCTTTACTTAGTAGACACTGCAGTTTATTCTATTGCTCATTCAAAATTAGGTATAGGTAATTGCTTGAATAGAACTCAAACACTCGTGACTGCGTCCTCGTGCGTATTTTTGGATGCTGTCACACCACTACGAGAGTACAGGAGAGAATAATTTCTTGACTCGTGTTTATCTATTGGATGCCTACGTATGTACAAATTAAACTATCGTGATTGATCATTGACTTTACCCTGGATTTGAGATCCAAGCGTGAACGTGCAAAATCTCTCGGGAATCGCTAGGAAAATACCTAGTGAATTTTCAATTTTCCGGATTAATAATAGTATTCCTCAAATTCTGGGAATTTCGTTTCCCGTGTCTATAGTCACGTCCAAAGAATTTTAATCCTGCATGCGAGTAAGCCGCCCGTAATCTCAGTGTTAACTTATCCTATCGCCAAATCCCAAAACAATACTTACAACTATGTGATCAAAAAAAGAGGAGATAAAAACAAGTACAGTTACATTTTCACCAAAACCCACAACATTAAGCACCCGATAAATTGCATGCAATTTTTTTTTTTTTTTTTTTTTTTTTACCTCTGCATGACTGGATGAGCAACATTCCAAATTTTAGTCTACGAAACGTCTCGAAATGCAGCTCTGTTTATCATAATAATCGAAGACAATAGAAAATTGGTAGTTAAGTGATTTCTATGACTTGCAAGGAAAATCGGATTTTAAAAATTCCTACCAGGCTTTATTTAAATCAAGTCGCTTCATTTTTTCCCTAGTTCCACCATACCGCTGATAATTTCGGGGGGTTTCCTCTCTATCTCTCTCTCTACATCGTTTTCTTTATCATTCTTGCTTTGAACATTCGGTATGATTAGATTCAGTCAATTCATTATACCGGCCTTCGGAATTTCAATCTCGAGGTGCTATTTTATAAAGCCTTCTAAAAGTGTTAGAAAATAAATATTTAAGGGTATCGTAAAATTTGTTGACAATGCCCAGTTTTATACTCCCGCCTTGAGCCATTAGCTGCTCCAGCGTGAAATTTTCTAAAACTCAGAGGAACAGAACAGCATTCTTACGACTTAACGTTTCTTATTCACGCAAAATGTCTCAACCTTAAAAAGTTGGTGCAGTAGTGAAAAATTATCACAGTTCCTACAATTTCGTCTTCCCTTCTCCCTCTGCCGGTAGGGTCCGTAACAGAACCCCCCCCCCAAAAAAAAACCCTCCCTGGGCCCCAGATCTAAAATTTTCGTGATACGACCATAAGTTTTAATTTACTAGGCAAGTCTGAAGGTCTTAAGTCTGAAATTTCGAAGTCTTGCAGTTTTACTAAGTTCAAGGGTTTTTAATTCTTTATTGGTGTTCTTTTTCTGCAACTAAGGGCAATCATTGTATTTTTTTCTACACAACGAGAAAATAAAATATTCTCAAAAGATTTCACTCTGCTCATTCTTGTCCATTTGATTTCTGTTTAAACTCGCCTTATTCCTTATTCATCTTGCAATTCAACAGTTCATAGAGGCTTGGAATATACGATAAAATACATGAGCAAATAATAAAGCCCCTGCGACCGAGAAAAATATTTACAGGGAAATTCAGGCAATTCTATCTTCGATTCACGTGTGATAAATATTTACACTGCATTTGTATTTTCTTTCCTTTTTTTTAAAATTTTATATTTACATGCTCCTGATGCTTTCATAATGCACTTTCATCATTCTAAACAGAATTCAGCGTTAAATATTCACAAGTTATTTATTCTTGTTCCAATTCTTGCACTCAACAGCAGTTTAATCATCATTCATCGTCTTGCTGGAAATCTATATCCATCACTAGGGATTTTCCAAAGCGATCAAGTTGAGCGTCTAACACAATTTTCTATCAAGGTGTGAAAATTAACCAGTGGCTTGCGTACTATCAGTTTGAACGTAGATCACCTGTTCTAGTGCTCAACAACCTGCAAATTCTATGTGCTCTCGTATTTCCACAATGACACCGTCAGAATGTCAGCATCACGTTTGCAGTGGTTTGTCCTTTAAATACTGTAGCAGCTTGTTTTCGCTCGAATCTGACGCAATAATTTGCTGTGTCGCGCAATATAAACAGGTGTTCGAGCATTTGTCTAAAGCTATCGTTTTTCATGGAAAATTGTGTAGTGGAATTTTGTTGAAACATAATTTTAAAATGTACCTTAAATTGACGCTATCAAACGGAAAAACTGCATGTATGAGAAATAAATATACCTAACCAAAAATCTGGACTGAACTATCCTAAAATAAATTTCTCGAACATTGTATCGCGGTTTGCAACGTTGCAGATTTTTTGTCATTTTCTCTCTTTCTTTCTTTCTTTCTTTCTTTCTTTCTTTCTTTCTTTCTTTCTTTTGGGGGGGGGGCATAATTCAGCATGTTAAATTTAAGAATATCGTTACATCCTGTTTTACTTGTGGTCAAAATAATTCAAATATATACATATAATTGAAACAATTCCAGGAACTTAGATCAGGCATCAATGAAAACACGATAAAAAAATGAGTTCAAAACAGAACACGTAATGTTTCGAGTAGGTATTAAAGATTAGAAACACACCTGTTGTACAGCAAAACTTAATCATCCCCCATAGTTGGAGATTCTACTTTAAAAACTCGGCTTATTGATGAGCGACCATGATGTGCCTTTTTTAGAGTTTAAGTACATTTCCTTTTCGCTTTGAAGTGAGTAAAAATACACCGTGCAGATAATGAAATCACAACTTTTGAAAGCGACTGTTGCGCAAACTGCACAGAAATCAACGCAAAATATAAATTATTTTGCGTTTTTCCTCTCGTATTAACCGGATGTAACACACGAACACAGCTATTTTTCTTAGTGTAGCTCTGTCCTCTCGGTGAAATGGGTAACACCATGAATTGGACCTTAGTTCATCAGAAAGGAACCAACCCACATTCAGTTGAAACTGAGACCAAGAGGTCTGAAGTTTTATTCATGCACAAGGCTCAATGTAGCAAATAAACTTTAACCCCCCTTTTTTTGCAAACGAATTTCTTTTTTTCGACTTCGAGTTTTTGGCAGGAGAAAGTATACGACTAGTCGAACTCAAAAACATTCTTAACTCAATTTTTTCGAAAATGTGGGTTGGCTCCTTTCTGATGAACTCGGTCCAATTTTGGTTATGTCCCACTGAGGTGACTTATTCTTTTCGCACGGCAGGAATCTTCTAAAACTTAATCATTATGCCGGCGAAAAATTTCATGTCTGTTTTTTTTTTTTTTTTTTTTTTTTTTTTTTTTTTTTTTATTTCAACTTAACTTCTGAATGTGCACGACGGTATGCACGCATATCTTCATGGCAGCGCGCGTGCAAGCATATGTGCTGGGTGCAGGTCCTGCCAATTAAATGCGAACTTTTTACTCCCTATTTCTCGGTTTTTGCCCCATCGACGCGCAGTAACAAAGAGGAAAAAAACCAGTCGTGAAATCCGTTCAATGTTCGTCGTATGCACATATACCATCCACTAGAAACCGTTAATTAAAAATATTTGTCTCGTTTATTTTTTCCTACGAGCAGGAGCATATCTGTTCTTTATTTGAGTTTCTGCAAAAATCCCATTGCAATTTTTGCATACCCTCGCAT